AAATTGAGTACTCATCAGTATAAGACCAGTCTTTCGTGCAACATGTAGGCTTCTAATAAGGTACTGTTTCTTTAATATCATACCAATACCTTTGACAATGGCTAAAACTTACTTTTAGAATTTTAACGTAATTTGAGCACATTGGACATTTAACAATTGATGCATCCGAATCAAGCAGAACAACAAATTTTCTGAAACCGATGAAAACAACAACTTCTTGTTGATATGCGAGGCATTTTTCATTAGTGCATATTCTGACTGAAGAGTATCAATGTTGTCTGTGCATGAGCTAACAAACCACCAAATTGGATTGGTATTAGGTTTATATTGATCGTTTAGATCAGCTTTTACATCTCGATAAATCGTATCAGCAATCGATGGAAGTTGCGAAAGTGCAGGAATAAATAGTTTTAAATATAGAAGCCATGATTTGAGCTTTTGCCGATCTTCCATACGTAAAGCTTGATTAAGAATAATATATCGACTACTTTCTTTGGTATCCCATTCAAATGTATATGCATAATCGAAGCTGATTCGTCTTATGATAGACCATCAGCTGGTTTCTTACAACGTTCTTTCGCAACCCATACGTTTCTCTGAAATATTGTTTTATCGAAAATAATGAAGGATGGCACAACTGCTTTTTCTAATGATACTAAAGATTCATTTTGATAGCTTTCAATAGGTAATAACAGAATTAGATTCATAAAGAACGTCTTGAACTCTTTGTTTTATCATAATGATAATTATAAAACCGTTAGTTATCAATATTTCTTTATAAATCTTTTGTTGTATTTTCTAATATTCGCACTTCTAAACGCATTTGGTTTTAGGTGAATAGCTAATTTTTTTAAAGTGATTGTAAGATCGTCTTGATCACATGGTCATTTGCCCTATCGTCTCTGTGATTATTAGTGATATTTTCGAAACTCCCTCCTTTCTTCTAACCGATAATGTGATTTCTGAGCAACCCCATATATTTAGTACCTTTCTTTAGAGTATCATCCAGGAAATACTTGTTCTGCCTAATAAGATCCATATGCAATCATATCATGTATTTTTACAAGTATATCATTAATAATTGTCGCATTTGAATGAATAAGTAATGCACCTGCATTAAAATGAGGTCCAATTTGTTCTTGTCAAACATCTTCTATTGCGCCTAATCATGCATCACTATCATTTTCAAAAATAGTTCCAGTTAATAATTCATTTATATCACGTATGACAAGTGTCTCACCATCAACATATAACATATGATCATAACAAGTCATTGACCATATTCGTAATTTTGTATATTGATCACGAAAACATGAATATATAATAGTAAACCAAAGTGGATTGATACGTTCAGCAGGCCATAAATATCATCCGACTTTTTGACAACGATTAAATATTGATTGTTTTAAACGATTTGAAATATAGAAAAGAATAAGATCAGCTTGTATATCTATTCGTCGAAGAGTATAACCAAGTACTTTAATACCTTGAATATAATCATCATTATAAATAGCTGATGTAATAACTAGAAAAATAGTACGATTAGTTTTTGTATTTATTTTATGATGAGTAAATGGAAAATCTGTTTTTGATAAGGTTGTATTTATAAACGGATATTGAATGGATAAATTATCAATATTAGATAATATAAAAAATTGATGAGAAGAAAAAGGATTTGAAATACAATTAAATAACAAGAAAAAACTACTTAATAAACTTAGAATTAGTCGATAATAAAAATAATGTGATAATGAAAAAAGACAGCATCGAGCTAGCATTATTATCAGTCATCCTATTTGCCACTTAACATAGTAATATAAGAAGTAAAAATGAAAATAGGTCAATATTGTCTTACTATAGATGTTGCCTTCTATATCGGTAAATAAAGCAAGTGTAATATTTATTTAAGAAATGTAAATAAATGACATTTAGATTCTTCTTCATCATCACCTCCTTTTTTTCTACCTTTATCCTTTTTTCTTCTTTCTCTATGATTCATATATATTTTTTTTCTTTCAGCATTGAGAATCCTTTATTATATGAAAAAACATTGATGTCCAGTTGAAGAAATATCCATCATCAACGCCTCTTTACCGTGATCAAGTTGAGGGTGCTTCATTTTAACATAAATTCAATGCATTTTCTATTGTATTAATTATAATAAAAGAATATGAAAATTAGTAGTTTTCTTATCGGAGTTCGTTTGAAAGTAAAATCATTGAATATAATCAGAGTCTTTTTGACATACGTCGATAGTACTTACGTTACAATATATCAGATTATATCAAGATAAAAAAAAATGAATATCTAGATCTAATTATGAACAGGATCAAATGACGATTACATTTATCGCGCAAAAATTTTACTGTAATACACAGTTTAATTAGAAAAATTCTTTTGCAATTTGAGAAATTCATTATGAAAGAATAACATATGAAAATAATATTTTCTCATAGAAAAATATAATTAATGAGTGAGGAAATATGATATTATTTACCTATGCTATTTTGATGAAAAGATTTTCCTACACGTATCTATTAAAATATCATCTGAAACATATATCTTTCTATCACAGAAAAAGATTTTCTTTTAAAGAAAGAAATATTGACACAGAAAATATATACAAAGAAAACAAATATTAGCGATTGTTGGACTTAGTCAAGAATAAAATAAAAATTATAGTCTGATTCCAGGTGAAAATTTATTTATCTTGATATAAGTTTTTCTTTATGGTTTGATGAAACTCTCTAGCATATCTACAATCATCTCCTTGATAATCATGAACTTTATAACAATCTAGAAGTTCAATTGAACAATGATGACAAGTCGGCACTCTAACATAATTGAAAATGACGGCAAATTTTACATAGCTATGAAAATTGAGAACAATTAAAAATGATAAATGCATGAGCACTTTGTTGATACTCGAACTTCATGATGACTATTATTTCAGATAGAGAGATTATTAATGTGCTAAAAAGAACTAGGAAAGGACAACTGATTGTTCTAAGCTCATTTTCTATGCCTTTTGTGTAGTACCACCTTCTTTCCACTCTAGTGTTTAATGTAGAAAGGAAAAGCATATGGCTGAACTGAATGGCAGCTGGAGCATGACTTTCAGTAGCCTTTATAGCCAGAAGAGGTAATCTTCGCTACTCAAGCAGACAAGAGTTGAAATAAAAAGATGTTTTTATACATAGTCAGTGCAGATTTTAATGCTTGTCTCACTGTAACAATGTGTGTTATTGGGGAGCCCTGATCGAGTGGAACACGTCTCCGATTCTGGATCGGAGCGTACGAGATTCATTTCTTTCCATGTAAAAATTTTTTGCCAATTTAACGATTTCACGATTAAATAGGTTACAATTTTGATCACGAAAACTCGTTAAAAGTGCGCAAAATTAACAGGTTTAAACGAGTTTTTGAAGTTCTAATGCGTTGTTTTCGTTAAATTGCTAACGATTCTTCACACGGTGATATATCCAAAAAACGCGTGAAAACAAGTTAAATACGTGAGCTGATATATATTATTTGTTTAGCATTTTTCATAGATTGTTATTGACCGCAAGTATGAGGTACTTTCTTCAGTGATCGATATCTTAAGTGTCATTCGTCTGAAGAGGAATATCCAGCTAAATAGTTCAATATTGGAGGTACTTCCTAATAAGATGCTTACAAAAATCTTTTTATCACTACAATTATTTCGTAACAGATACAAAACCAATCATGATCTGCAATATTTTTTTTTGTTATCGATATCTCAAAATTTAGACAAGTAATGTGTCTCTTTGCTATAATTTCGAATTCGTATATGTGCTAGAAATGTATATCATAGCATGAGAGAAATGATAAGACTATACTAGTTTAAATTTTGAGATATTGATAAAAGAAAAAATATTGTACTTCATGATTGGCTTTGCTATCTATTACGAAACAATTGTAGTGATAACAAGACTTTCGTAAGCATCTTATTAGAAAGTACCTACAATATTGAACTGCTTTGCAGGATATTTCTCTTTAGACGAATGAAACTTAAGAAGATATTGATCACTGAAGGAAGTTCTTCATACTTGAAATCAATAACAATGTATGAAAAATGCTAGATAATAACGTATATACTTAAGTATCAGCCTACGTACTTAGTTGAGATGAGCAAGTCAGCGTTTTTCATATTAAATGTCAATTTTATGAGCTAAAGAGTCAATTTATGTCAACTCAGTAGTAAAATACTCCGAAAAATCTCGAGTCAAACTACATAAATAAATCTTGAGGTTTCAGAAAAAAATAGTCCGTTCACTCAAATGTACAACCATAATATTGTTGGCTTGAAATGTGTATATTTTCTCCACTTTTATAACTAATTTCTTCTCAGTTAGAAATTATCAAAAAAAAGCAGCTAATACCTTTTTTTATATGGATGTGGGTGTCTGTTTCTGGAGAAACGGTATATGGCCACTTCCACACTCCACACACACCCATCCCCCGTCCTTTTCTGGCGAAAAGATTCCTTTTAATTCTTAATTCATTTATTTCTTGAACCTGTATGTCTCAGATCAACTAAAGTGTCTAGAAAAGATGGATGTAAGACACTTCTCTTATTGGTGCAGAATGTCCAACCAGAAGCGAGTAAGACGCTCGAGTGTCTAAAATCTGTCACCCATTGATACTTGAAGCGTCTAAATTAAAGACATATCAATCAATCAGAGCCAGCTTAAAGTGCCTTGTATGAGCGGATGAACCGTCTTGTCTATACACCTTATGAGTCTTGATTTTTTAGAGTGATGTCAGCATTTTATGCTCCATTTCTGTCTTCTTTTGTCCTCCTTTTATTGGTATCTCTTTTTGAATTCTTTTGTAGCAAAACCTTCTATAGGGGAGGACTGCATATAGCAACAGCAAAATATGCAGGGTAGAGAGTACGAGACGATTAACTAAAAACAAGAGAAAAACATCATATTTATACAAAGAAATTCAGTACACAGAAATTATATAGTCACATCGATTTTCATATGCTGTGCAGTAGTTGACATTGTTCCAACATGAACGACGGCTAACAAGCATAAAGGTCATTGCGTAAGTCTGAGAAAATCTGATTATAGGCCGTTATCAAAGCAGCGTCTTTCTAAAAGTGACTTCCTATTTTTATTTATTCTTTAAAAAATAAAACTTTCACAATTATTACTATTCGAGAACTTCTCTGCAAGTTGATAAAAAAAGTGAAAACTTTCAATATAGCTACATTTTTGGATCAAATTTATATTTCAAAAGATTCGACACCTTCATTTTATTTCTTGAATAAAAACAAAGAAAGAACACAAAAAAACTGTTTCCTTTGTGTTCATTTTAACTTCGACTTTAAAAAATGTTTTATAATAGAAAAACAATATTTAAAAAAAAATCGGTTTATGTGCGGTTACACAGAACTTGGACAATTAGAAATTCGTTATCTAAATTTTGACAATGTTCAAATTGCACTAGAGTAAATGTGGCATTTACCATTTAATTTGAAATAAATATAAATTACCAGTAGTTTATATTTATTTTAAATATAAATTATGAATACAAAATTTATATTTACAAATAAAGATAAATTATTTCCTTTTTGTAATTTATTAAATATAAATTAAATTAAATTAAATTATCATATTTTTCTTTGACACTTTACGTAAGTAATATATCCTATTTTTTATATTACATTTATCTGTAGTTCATATGTTATACAATATTTTGATTCAATCAATATTTCTTAATCTGCGAAAAGAATGCACGACTTATCATAATGAGTTTTTCGAAAGAGTCAAAGCAAATTTTACGGACTAGAAAAATGGAAGGCGCTGCAAATATGGGTGCATTAATTCTAATAACAATTCTGCACTTGGAATTGGTCAGAATTGATCTGGAATTGACTGGAATTGGTCGGAATTGACTATAACTGTTTGTAATTGGTTAACAAGTGGCCGAAAATGGTGAAAATTCTCATTGTTTAGGGATACAAAGTTACTGTTAAAGAAGCAGCACAGCTGCCCGGAAACCGAGTGATGGCGAAAATTCGATTTTGATTTTATTCGTCAAGAGAAGATGTTTTTGGGAAATATAACGATTTTGTGGAACTCACATATATTTTCGAAGAAAATAGTGAGTGTAAGTTTCAAGCTCGAATTTTTGTGGCTCCTCACCCATTACAGACCATAGCAACGCAGGCCCCATTACAGACCCCCACTCCCTCATCAAATACCTTAGTAATCGAAAATAGCAGACGTTATTTTTTCTAAAGTTTCTTTTGTAAAATCGATCAAGTTATAATTTTGAAGAATAATGAACATCGTTAACTGTGAGTTGATTAATATATATGATAGTATGTAAGATCGTCTGTAAATATCATGAATACATAAAACAGACTAATATTATCAATTAATTCAATAATTATAATAATGAGAATATTAAATTAAGAAAAACGACTTAAAAAAAAGAAAAATAATGAGCGAATAGCAACAATGAAAACAAAAAATTAAGGCGCCGAAGAAATATTTTTAAAAATGTGTTAAAAATGCAGAAATTAGATAGATCATTACTCTGCACATCGATTATCGTGCAAAACAGCTATAGTCTATCTGAGTTTTTTCACTTTACGCATTTTATATTAGTTTAATGAGAGTAGAGAGTATATGTGAGTTCCACATTTCAGCCCCAAAGGGGCTGCGCTAACAAGCTTTTTTATAAGGCTGAACCGAGAGTAATCAGGAATGAAGAATCCGAATCTACAATCAGTTTCTCAAAA